GATTCACTTCTTCTCAGTTTCCTCCGTAAAATACTCTCTTCCCACTCGCAGTCCCTCTTCTCTCCCCCTCCCTTTGCCTGCCTCTCTCTCTCCCCCCCCCCCCCCTCACCATAGCCCCTCGGTGTGTACTCCTCCCTTCGCTCCCACACGCTCGTCTTCTCACACAGCGTGCGTGTGCACGAACACACGCAGCGCACCGCCAATAACACACGCGCATGCACGTTGGATCACGCAGCCCATGCGCGCACAAAAAACGCACGCATTCAAGTGAGTTCGCCTCGTGCGGTATAGCCTCTGAGATTTATGGCGACCTTTTTTTGTAAACTTTCACAAGTGACGAGCAGCCTGTTAAGTTTCCATATTTTATTGGCTCGTAGAAACGTGGCGGCCCGTGCGCCACTTAAGGTCATGCGCCGCGTATTTGCGGCCACATTTTCGCAAGTAACACGGTTTAGATGAGTCACAAATGTTTGTGTGCGACGGAAAAGCAGCGTCGGCACTGAGCTCTTGCTGCGAAAAATAACAGGAGCTGTCACCGCCCAACGGCCTAATGTAAAGCAACTGTTGCTTGAGAGTTTATATTCTTTTATTTAATACATACCACACATTCGGAATGTTGTCGAATGTGGGGTTAAAAAACGCCTTCCCTTTTCCGTTCAGCAGCATGAAAACACATCTAGAGAGTCGCGATTGCAAGATTGTTAGCTCCGATTAATTAAAATTAATATCCTGTTTGAAAAATAAAAATACGCCTCCTTCCCTTAGAAGGGACATGCGCCCTGTCCCCTCTTGGTGCATTTATAGGCATCATTTATTTACTGGACAATAGAAAAGGGGGAACTTTAAAGAGGGGGAAAGGCAGCTTCAGGCCTTTTTATTGTGCTGCACTTTTGTTAACTGTTTGTCTCACTCACACCAGACAGAATATTTTACACCGCTCGTCGGGCACGCCGCCCTTCACTTTTTACCTCCATTTTTGGATTTATTCATTTCTTTTAGTTCAAAAATATGAATATATTTTCTGCTTTAGCAACCACACGCTTTTACCCATTTATTCAATCATCTTTAAAAATGTTAGTTTAATATTTTATTTTGAAAAGTACCCATGACCAGGCCTGTGTTTTGTTCGGCTCAAATGTCCGACACAGTTAAACAATTATTTAATCGCCGACATAATGAAACATGCTATATTATAGCACACGATTGTGCAGTATTTGTCTGGTTTGAGGATTTATTAATCTCTCCTGGGATTACCTCATTGGGCGTTGGGATAGCCCATTGGTTATAACACAATCTTCTTCAAACTGAGCATGCGCATTACCTTAAAATATCAGAATATTGTAGTGTGCATACCTCTTTGACAGTAGCCCCATGCTGTTGGAAAAGAGCAGAACATAACCATCAGCCTCAATGGTAAACAACTCACATTTATACATTTATGTTCAGTTCAGGACTATTTAAGAGTATAAATTGATGAATAATTTAGATGCATGATAACTATTTAAGAAATGTGCCTGTGACCAATCTTTTGGATATTTCCTTATTAGAATGTGTATTCATTTTTGTTTACTGCATGTTGTCTGCCCTGCATCCTGCTTTGAGTCTCAAGTTTGTGGATTTGGATTTAACTCAATAATGACCAAACAAAAATAAAATATCCTTCTCCCGAAACACAATGACAAAACCGAAGCCCAGCACCAATTCCATTCATCGAATACCACTGTATTTCTCCCTGCATATACAGGCAGAACATGGTCTTTGTTTTCCTACGACACAGTTAAATTAATGATATTGTGATTCCATGTTTTGCATAAATAGACATGGTGCTGCAGGATCTTGCAGGTTATTTAATGAGCCAACTCCTTCATTTTAAAATACATCCTCCATGACACTTTTTTCAGTTCTCCTACATTCTGCAGAGCTGCCAACAGTATAAAAGCTCAGGTGGTCTACATTCATACCATAATCCAGTAGATTTCATACATCCTGATGTGAAAATACATCTCGGCTCACATTTCTTTTAGCCAGAATACTGTTTTAGCATCCTCTGCGTCCGCTCGCTTGCTGAATGTTTTTTCGAAAAAACAGATATGTTGTATTTTCTTGCCTCTAATCACATGTCATTTAAATTTTCTGCAGAAGCTGAATGAATTTACCAACATAGATACTAGAGCTCTACATGATGAATGACAGTTTAAGTGTGTTGTCATTTGCAATTACACAATGTAATGCTTGACTGTGTTGTGACGCTATCGGGCATGTTTTTCTGCTGTGTGAGTGTTTGCTTTTTCCTTGTCATGGGAGAAATGGACAAATTGTGTCATTCCTATTTTCTTCAAATTAAGCATGTTCTTCAATGCAAGAATTGCAGCATTGATCGCCATTTGTATTTCATACATGATATGGTCACTTGGGCCTTGAGTGACTGCTACATTGCTAGTGTTTGCCTTCTAATGGCTGATGGAAAGGACTAATTGACTTCTTGCTGGGATTTACCGGAGCATCTGTCTGCAAATGGATCCCAAACCTGTTAATTCATCTAAATTTCATAAAGTCATGCCAAGACTGTGCACTGCCATCCCTCATCAATTATAACGTCTACTCCACACTGATGCCTGCAGTTGTTTAAACGTACACACGCGCGCACACACACACACGCATACAGGTAGGTTGCACCACCATTTCGGCTTATTCGTAATTTCAATGAGAACAGTTTATAACGTTTATAGACGTTTTTTCTAAATAAAAATAAGAAAAGGGCCAAGGCCGCTATGCTTTTTTTTTTCTTCTCATGATGCATTTGTTAATTTAAAACGTTGAATAAAATGCAGTTAGCATTAAGAAAAGGTTATTCCTAAGAATTCCTCATATCGCCATCCCGGGTTAAAGAAATGAAATTAGCTCAAATTTTTGTCTTTAACATGGCGTTATACTGCAACTTTGCTCTTCAGTTTAGTTTTGGTTTGATTTAATTTCTGCCCTGTGTGATCCATTTGTTCTACATTCACTGTATGGAGATTGACTGGGATGCTATGGATGTAAAGAATAGTCCCTGACATGTGTGTTTTAATAGTTGGGAGGAAAATTTTGTGTGCAATAGTCCCTAGGATTTTGTCCAGAGTGTCAAGCCAATATAAATGACTGCACTGAGAATGGAGTTTTGGGAGGGATTGCTGGTGTCACAATGGTACAAATATTTGAGCTTTAGTTTGATCTGTAGTTTCCAAATTCCAAATGCAACATTGTCACGACTATGGAGTATTTTATTACATTAAACAAATAGTCTACAATAAATACGTTATAGTTCTCAATGCATATATGTTTCCATGTCTTGGCGGTTACTATTTTAGTTTTTCTTTATCGCTGTGAAGCTAATCATAGGACTCTAACATTTATCATTTTTTATAAGGTATTGGGCACACTGAACATGTTACAAATTAAATACTTTTAACCAATCCATATAGTCAAATGAATTGGCTTATTTAATCATGATTATTATGGTAAATTCTAATTAAAACATGACCGCATTAAGGTGCATTTAAATGTCCTTGGTAATATTACAGCAGGAGCTGCTGCCATGAAACAGGCAGATGGCACACACTTGCGTGACTGTTATTGAAAAAGGTGAACCCCAATAGCCCCACAGGCTTTATCAGGAAAGAATAAGTGAATTTCTTGTTTCATACCGTTGTTGCAGATGAGTTGCTCGGATGATTTGGATACCAATTGCTGCTCTCTGAATGGTAGATTGGAAACGTTCGTTTTCTTCGCTTTCTCAACCTCAATATATTCACAGAAAATTTCGAGTACCGCTTGCCACATGGAATCCACCCACACTCATGCCGCAGAGACCGTGCTGACAATTTTCTTTATACCAGACACTAATGCAAATGTGCACATGCTTTTTACATCGTGAGGATTCCTCTGCGTGGAATCTCCTTGTGACATATAGCAAAAAATTTCTTTGGTTTTTTTGTGCAAAAAGTGCGAGAACTGGCGCAAAAAAACCCCCCAATGTGGGGGGGGGGGGGGGTTGTGTACCTTTTTAAATAAAATAATTGGGCTGAAGTGGTCTTGAAGAAAGTGTGCTGATAGAATCGGATCAACGTCAAACAGGGGAGACGTGCAGAAACGAGCTGGAAGCTGCTGCCCTCACAGCACCCCAAAGGAATAAAGTTTCCCAGAGTTTGCCACTAGAGCCATTTCCACTGCTGTTTGTCACCTTTCATCATTTGCATTTGACCACGACTCATAGTGCGAGCTGCTGGACGCACCGGTTATTAACTTACTGTAAAGCTAAACGTAAAAGGGTGTATGTGTGGAAATGCACGTTGAACTGGAATATAAAAGAGGGCACCCTGCTATGAAGCATTCCCCAGAGTACGTGAATCTGAACCAACGTTCTTCCTGTAAAACGATCAAACAACCTGTTGCTTTATCAAAGTTTTTATTTTTCTTCGGTAATGAGGACATCTTTTTTTTTTTTTTTAAGCCTTAAATAAAACACACTCTGAGACTTGTAACACAGCAAACTTTTACACTTAAAATTCACATTTCGGAAGACAATTTCTGCCTTAAACGATGTGACCATAAAGGCCTATGACGTATTTTGAATGATATAAAATAATGATTTGTTAAAATGAGTTCCCTGTTTTTTGAACGGTTTTTAAACTGCACTCAAAATCAAAGTCTTGCCAATAATGGTCCTGGACACGCTACGGCCAGTCTCTTTTGTCCTCGCAGCGGAGGAGATTTGGACATTTGCTTTGGCACGATTAATTCCAGCGATATAAAAGACGGCAGAGAGATTGTGGTTTAGTCTTGTGTATCACTACATGCATTTGATCGCTTCACTTCATATGGATCACACATTAAGCTTTATATTTATCAAATGTGCAGATTTAAAGAATGTGTGTTCACCAGAAGGCGGCTATAGTTTAAGAGGCAACAACATTTGCAAGTATCGCGGCACATTTCAAAGCATTTTTTCTGCGATATTTGAAAACGGAGTCGTGCGGTGAACGCCTGCGTGTCCCTTTTAAAACAAACCCAGCGCCTGTCAATCACCGCGCATTCCAACCAATCCCAAAGCTCCCTTTTTTTAAAAGCTGCTCTGCCTGCTGTGCTTTTATATTGCACCATGGCCTGTTTCGAAGCATTTTTACTACCACGGTTATTGCCACAAATCAAGAGGGCAAAGTAAACGGCATGGGACTCACACCAACTTTAACGAATCCGAGTCTGGTTCCTACTCCTGCGAGGTTCACGGCCAAGAATTTCACATGCAGATGATATACAGACAGCGAAAATGGAGAGGGGACGTCTAGGTGTATCCTGAGTGCTGAATTGGTCGATTTTGCAAACTCACAACAACAAAAAAAAAAAAAAACATGACAAGCCTTTCGAGGTTTAGTGGCTGCCCTCTCTCTTGCGTCAACCCCGGGGAGAGCAATACTGAACCCAGCGTGGTGCTGCCACCTTTGGCAGGAGAGCACATGGGACTCCCCACTGGCAGTTCCTTAAAACTCTGCCCCTCGCACAATTTGCGAGACTACCCCGAGACGAGGTCCAGTGCATATGTTGACCATTCGGTTCCCAATTTTTCAGACTCTGGATACCACAGCCACCGGTTAGAGCACAGCCCCAGGGGCATTATCATTGGAGCCAATCTTTCTGGAGCCGGCATGCCACCCGTCACTGATCAACTGGCATCAAGAGCCAACCAACATGGCGGGATTGGAAGGTATCGTGACTTCCCCGGCTACAGAGACAACAGAAGCCATCATTTTTTTTCCAGCTACCAGGAGCAGGCCCACACCTCCGGCGACGCATCTCGAGACTTCGGCAGCCAGATGATGCTGGGTCTACCTGGCGACCTCCTCGGCCGGACTCACCCTTATGGCCAAACTATCAACCCCAAGGGAAACAGCCAGCAGCTCGTCTCCCAATTCCTGGGTCTGTACAAACCCCTCAACATGGCAATTCAGCGCGGAGGAGGCGACGCGTTCCTCAGGTGCTCTAAGCAAATGGTGAAGCACGAGCTGGTGTGCAAGTGGAGTGACTGCCAAGAGGGGGCCGGGAAGCTCTCCTGCTCCAGAGCCTTCGGGACCATGTATGAACTTGTCACCCATGTGACAGTGGAGCACGTCGGAGGACCAGATCACTCTGAATATGTCTGTCACTGGGAGAACTGTGCGAGGGACAGGAAGCCGTTCAAAGCCAAATACAAGCTGGTGAACCACGTCAGAGTCCACACAGGGGAAAAGCCCTTTCCCTGCCCCTTTCACGGCTGTGAGAAAGTTTTTGCACGATCAGAGAATCTTAAAATCCACAAGAGGACTCACACAGGTTAGTTAACGATCATGCTAAAGCACATTATTCGTTAACGATGATAATGGTAATGATTATAATAATGTCGATGATGTTAATAATTGTACGGTTTGGCAAGTGATATTTAAAAAAAAAAAATTAAATATATATTTTTTTCAACTTACAACACAAACTGTTTAATTAATAATTTAGTTTTGCTGGGTTTATTTGTTTTAACATTTTTTATTTTTCATGTATTCCCGGATTCTGGAAGTTAGCTAATTTTCCTACATTGTTTTAATGTTGTTATTATTATTATTATTATTATTAATAGGGACATACATACACAGGGCTTTGTTTTGGTTTTGTTGCACTGTTCCGTGTTATTAGGCCCACATTGTTATAAAAATATTGTTATGCAAAGCTTGTCTCGCTGCCTCTACGCGTCTCTGTTATCGTGTGCGTGTTTTGCAGGAGGAATGCTCGTTCAGGCTTCATGCAGGGCACCGCAGACGAGTAGCTGTAAGGCAGCTACAAAGGAGTAGTCTGCAGGCCTAGTGGTTAGGGTGCCTCTCCCACTTCACTCAATGAAATTATTAAATAAATGCCGGGACACCGGAGAGTTGTGACGTAGCAGTTACGCTGCCTCTGCCTCCCAGGGACTCATCTTTTCCTGTTTTCAGGAGCAGAGCACTTCCCACTGTGATGCAGCAGGGAATAATACAAAAAGGGAACAAACGGATGACCGTAGTCAGCAAAATAAAATAGTTTTCATTTTAAACATTGAGTCACGTTTCCTTGGATCATTTCTATCACTCTGATAGGCCTGTTAGTTGGCACAAAAACGTCATCGTAAGATGCATTTAATTTTAGAATCGAAATTTCTTGGGAATGTCCTTTGATGTCCCATTTGTGGAAACTAATATAATCTGCAGAAATGACTTACAGGTGCAATCTTTTTTTATTTTTTTATCCTTCAGGGATTCCACGACCAAGATCTCACAAGGTGTAATCATAAAACGCAGCCATGCCAATTGAAAATATAATTAACGAATGAAGTGAATGGTCCTCAGAGTAAGAAGGGAGATAAAACAAATAATTATAAGGTGACCCCTTTCGTTGCTTTACCAATGAAAGCTGAAATAAGAGCGCGAGAAAACGGGCTTAATGGCGTTTCTCATTACTGCACATGCGTATTGATGTTAATTAGATTGGATTTATGACAGAAAAATATATTTACATTTCTTTAAAAGTCCAAAAGACAACGATTAACGCACAAGCCTGCAAAATGAAGATTTAACACAAAGTATTACAGTAGTATTTCTGAGTCCAGCTCGTCCTGGTCTTTTACATCCGTTACATCCGCGCGCGTGCAGGGGGGACAGTGCCCAGCTGTAGGCAATTTTGTGCGAGGAGATCAATTAGCATCTTGATAGCCATAATTCATTCTATGATGATTACTCCGTTTAAACTAATCTTTACATTTGCTGTCGCAGGTTTATCACAATCGAATGCATGTTTAACACCCACGTTGATTTAGTGCACTTGATGCAATCTGGCCTGCAGCACTTTGAACAGTCATTTCGTGACTCACTAGCAGTCCTATTTTTGGCACATCGGTAACAATTATCCATGAAGATGAGAACTTGTATAGCCAAGTCGAGAGGTGCACTGTGGTTTCCAAAGCCATAAGCTGATGATTTAGTTTGCAGTTATTTCAGTCTGAAGCCCGGATGTGCAGTTGTTTTTTGCTTTGTCTTTTTCATATAACATGGAGGGGTGGAGGGCACTCCGATGACCGGCTTATCAGAGGAAGAGAGAGCACGCGCACGGGCCCTGCAAGTGTTTTCGTAACTCGCACTCATTTCTCTCTTTGAACCCTTTTTGGTTTTCTTTTTTTAGGTGAAAAGCCTTTTAAATGCGAGTTCGACGGCTGCAACCGGAGGTTCGCGAACAGCAGCGACCGGAAGAAGCATTCTCACGTGCACTCCAGCGACAAACCCTACACGTGCAAGGTCAGGGGCTGCGACAAGTGTTACACCCACCCGAGCTCCCTGCGAAAGCACATGAAGCTCCACTGCAACCGGGCCCTCGACGCCAAAAGCGAGGACCTGCGCCCCTGCGACGGCGGTCACGACGCGCAGGGGCGCAGGTCCACCCGCGTCCCGGACGGAGCCCACGTCGGCTCGCCCCACCCGCCCACCTCGACGACTCGAGACGTCCCCCCGTCCCCGGAGAGCCGAGACGAGTCGCCCCCGAGGTCACGTTTCCATCACGCGTTTGACAGCGGCCTGGACTACTCCGCGCACAGGTCGCAGCCCCTCTTGGACCCTGCGTTGCTGCAGCGGGGCAGCTACAGGTCCCAGTCCTCCCAGTATCCCTGCGGCCAGACGGGTCACACGTTCGCCCAGAGCTCAAGGACTTTCCCCTCCACCTCTCCCTTTCAGAAAAGCATCGTCAATGGATGGTACACATGCCACAGTGGCGTGGACTCGTTCCCATCAAAGCAATGTAACAACAGCCCGTCTCTGTGAATAGGACACATGCGGCCGATGGATTTCCTTCTCTCCATGTTCTAACCTTATCACTTGCAGCTCTGCTACTCTGTGTATTTTTTGTGTGGATGTTGTATCAAATATTTCGTGACACACACACACACACACGTCAACCTGTGATTGCCGTAATGTGTTCAGCTTTATCTGTTGTCGTGGGACCTGTTTGGGTGGTTTTTGGCGTCCGGCCCATAGTCGCATAAACCCCACAGTGGGTTCTGGGACTTTACAAAGTGTATCTGCGTAATCGTTCGCTGTGTTGCGTAATTATTCAAGATATGTATCTTAAGTGAGACAGAAAAAAAAATGGGATTTTATGGAAATCTTTTGAGTCCTCTGAACTTTAAATAAAGAAAGTGAAATAAAAAGGAGACTTCTTGTTGAATGTAGCCCTGAGTGTGAGGGTCTCTGTTGAATGTAAACTAGATGTAATGTGTCTCTGAAAGGTAGAAGCATTATTTGTGTCTTTATGCAGCTGTACGTCACTCTTAAGTTAAGAACGAGCCTGACGCATGATCTTCGTGTAATTGAAATACTGCGAGGCTCAGTGTTTTTGTCTTTCTTTCTTTTCTCTATACCTTTGATTAAGTTTCACTATTTGCCCCCTTTACAGAACACACTCGTATTCTTGTTGGTATTCTGTATATTCCACATTTCCGTGCAAACTAAGACGAGTGTGAGCTCAAACCAGTGTTCGTGATATCATGAAAACGTTTAATTAGCCTACGGTTTTACTGTACATAAGCCTACTGTATGATTCATTATGTATTCTATATTTTATTAAAGTGTCTATATTCTCTTTGATCAGGCGTGTGTGCTTATACCAAATCAGTGCATCTTCATCACATTTTTTATTTTTATTCCTAATTAAATCCTTTTTAATGGCCCGAACCATATTTGTAGGCTTGACGTTCTGTGCAATAAGGCACCGCCTGCTGCAGAGGCTTCATTTAGTGTTATATGTCAGAACCGGGTCACGTTTGAGCGACGCACTTCTATCGGCCCAAATGGACATGAATGCGACATTGTCCCTGCGCTAAAAAATACCTTTTTCAATCCGATTTTTGTTTCCTCAATGCGTCATTGGGCGGGACACAGGTGTATTTCCCTCAAGGTCACGCGCATTCTGTCTTGCTTGCCTCTTGATCCTATTAATCCATTTTTGTTTTTCTGTTAGATTTCTGTCGCTCTCCGTCTTTCTGTCACTCACTGTGCGCACGCACAGCAACGTGTCAACCTCCAGGTAAGCTGCAACACAAAAATGACTCATGTATCCCAAATGGAAAAAACTGCATTATCACCACTATGATTATTCTATTCCTGCTATAACGAGAACACCTTTGTGTCTACTTTGTGCCCGAATTGATTTTTTTCTAAGTGATAATGTGGTATAATATAGGACCTGTGGGTGTTCTTTCATATTGCCATTTATAAAAGTGGAAAAAGTTGCTGAAACGTTTTTTTTCAGCCCAGTTTTCTGACACATTTGTTCATGTTTGCTTCTTTGTTTTTTTTCGGAGAAGTCAATTTGAAGGAACACCTTATTTGTTTGTCATTGTGTCTTTTTCTCGACCGCTTAAATGCAGTCCAACGGTCCTACAGAAGTCGTCTGTAATTTATTATTTCCACACGTAAAAGGCGCTGACTGAAAACTAAGTGATCAAGTTACACGTCTTAGCTTAAGATGATGCACAGAATCCCTTGTTGTCCCGCGAAAGAAATTACTGCAATAGCTTGATTATTTGGGAGGTTTGATGAGTCACAATTCTGAATCTTAAGGTAATGTAAAAATAACCTGCTCTACAGCCAGTAGCAAAGCCGTAGTTTGTACCTGTATATATGTATGTCAGCATTTTACATACACATGATGCCTGCCATTATATTTACCAGTCTGCTTTACACGTATCAAAATCAAATCGGGTCAAAACAGCATTCATATCTTTGAAAAAGGCTGTATGATCTGACGGCTAACAGGCTACGGTCTGGATGGCCACAACAAAACATGGGTGGAATGGTTTTTCCTCCAGTGTCGATTTGCACACTTTAAAAGTCCAGTAGAATAGAATAAAAGCAAGATCCCTCTTATATATGTATATTCCCCTGATCCCAATCCCAGTTTTAACCCTCTGTGCTATTTAGGAGTGAACCATCACTTGGTAAGCACCTGATTGTGCTTGAGACTTTGCAAAGCTGTGGTCACATCGTTTATGTGTTGTGTGCTGGTTAAAAATATATGTTGCACATTCATGCAGATACGTCTTCAGGGACAGTCAAATATTTGTGATGATGCATTTTGCCATTCCTTTTAAAAATGTGACTGCAGTGCACTTGTAGCTTTCCACCGTAATTCTTTCAACGAGTTTTATTAAGAATCGTATGAATGGCGAACAGCAACATTTTTATTTATTTATGTGCAAAATTTCTAATTGCTACTCAGTAATTCATGTAGCTGAAAAGTACTGCCCCATCAACTCTGGTTGATAATCATTTTCTTGAAGGTGAAGATTTTGTGGTAAGTGTGATATGATCTGAGATGGAGCCTTCAAAGTATTTTTTTTTATGGAGGAAAGACTCCAGTAAATTGAGGTGAATGGGCCGGTTGTGGTCAGTGTACTTTAATGATGAAATTCATGAGATTCCTTTCTTTTGTTTGGCAACCTCATCAATAGTTTGCATCAAATGCTTTTGCTGTATAGGATCCATCTTTTTTCCAAAAGCTCCAAATATTTGATCTCAGAGCTTCTAAACCCCAATTATCTGCCAAATGCTGCCCCTTTGTCTTGTATTTCTAAAAATAGTGAATCTCTTCCCGGAATACACAATAGAGAGAATCAAACCTAATTTTAACCTTTTCCGTTTGTCGTGTGAGGACAAAAAGCCAAAAGGCAGCGACCTAAACGGGGAAATTCTCCCACTGAGGTATATGAGCTTTCTGTGGTGCGTTCTGACCGAGCTGTGTCAGTATTCCATAATCATTGAAACATGCCACCCCCTCCCCCCCCCAGTAATCACAGCTGATGAGACCTCCGCAGTTTTCCTTGCCCGCCGCCATCTTTACTCGTTCGCTCTCTGCCCAGCAACAGGCACAGGGGCCATCTTGGACAGGGTGTACAGTATACATCCATTTACTGTAAATACACCCATTTTCACCTTGGGACCCGTTGAGTTTTCCCCTTGCGTCCCGCGCCCCCCTAACCCCCCATCCCGCGTTTCTGTTCTGCTGCGCACCAGAGGGTGGGCTGCTATGTCACACCCAGACTTTGGTATTATGCATCAACATAATCATGCATGACATCTTGCGTAAACTACGCTGTCCTCCTCCCATCCATTACGCGTACGGTTCGAGCGTTCGGTTCCTACTGGAGAGGCTGTGTGATGGGATTTTAATTGGATCTCTGCCCCCCGCCCCCCGCCACGCCCAATACCTACTGCAGATCATGCCAAGAGAGCTGGTGCTCCTTAAGATATCTTTCTTTTCATTTCATCCGAACCCGCTCTGCTCTGCCACCCCCCCCTCCCCACACCCCCCCCTTTTTTTTTGGCAGGTCCTCTTGTTCCTACGTCTCATCTCCCCGCAGCTCGTGGCTATCTTCACCCTCTACGGCTCCTTCATGATGGCCCCCTAATCTGTGCCAGTGTGGTTCCATGGTAAGTAGGGGTCCCCAGACTCTCCCCTAAACACGCATGGAATCTTCACTCATGCTACATCTGCAACCCCACATGGTAAACTGGATACAGCGCCTCCGCTGCTGCTTGAAACCAAAATTCCACATTCTCAGAAGGGAAGCTACGGAGAGGTTTGGCATCGGTGATGCTAACGATGCTGAGGGCGACCGTTACAAGGAACAGAGATGGATTCGAAAGGAAGAGATTGAACTGTCAATAGGATGGAACAGTGGAGTGAAGTGAATGTGTAGCTCATGTCACTTCCTCTCCCGAGAACATAAGGAAGGTAATCGGTTTCACGTCTAAGCCCGTGTTAATTTGACAGCTTGACAATTAATAAGCTTTTAAAACACCCTCAGAATCAAGGCTCTTATGTAAGACAATGCAATCATTACATGTTTAATGTGTTTACCAAACATAGAATGGTGCAAAGGAATGTGGAGTCCCGGCACTGTGCCCTATGATTTAACCATGCTGATTCTTTTAGATCTTTTTTTTTTTTTTTTTCTCCCCATCTTCATCTGCACTGCAGTTTTTCTGATTTCGGCGGTGCCAGCCCCCTGTGTAGTCCAGCGTGTACACGGGCTTATTAAACCAGGCTCCTATTCAGTCCACCCAACGGTCGCTCCGCTGTCAACTTAAGCCCAAGCCATTCCAACACTCCACGACTATTGTTGCAAGCTTCTCCAGAACTCGGTATTGCTAGACAGCCGATGTGCAGAGGGAGAGCGGGAAAGGCCCCGCCTATCCTCATATCTAATGCATAATTATCTTTTGATGCGTTGCAATTTCCCCCGTGTGGATGGTTCTTAAAAAGATGTCTTTTTTTTTCATTTATTATCCATGTCTTGCATAAGAGATATTTTGACATTTTCTGATGAGCCAGTTGCTGAGATATCACGGAGGCTTTAATCGTCTCCTGTGAGCTGGCAAGCTCACGAGGTAACCAAATGATTGACGATTATTATTTCATACGAGAAAAACAAACAAACTGCAAGCAAAAGTTTTTCAGATATTGCCTTGGGTATTTGTTGTGGTCTGTCGCAATGCAAAAAGGAAAATAAATAATGTTTTTAAAAGTACACATCTTTCAAGATTCATAGATCCAAGGTTTTTTTTGGGAGTTGGAGTAGTTGGGGTGAGCAGACCTTTGAAGATCTTTCAACTCCTGGATGCTCCAGGCCTATGAGATGCAGTGCCATCCCTTTAAGGGAATGACCATAACTTTGGTCCCCTTGCTTCTAATCCGTCCTTCAGACCCTCGTCGTCAGAGATCAACCAGGCTGAGCCTTGGTGTCCTCCGCTCCCTGGCAAGGGCAGCCAGGGGGTTTCGCGTGTGTGAAGAGCCAGATGAATATGCTTAAATCTGCGCCAAAGATCAGGAGTTGATGTCTTTATCTTCTTTATCTGCTTCTCCATCTGCTTGTTCCACAGCATAAGATCTTTGACAAATGATCAGTTACATTTTTCCCGCGTCCGCTTAATGATTTACAGTTTCTGAATCCATTTGAAGAGTTTGTTTGAAAATGTTATGACGGCTTTGATCGCGAAGCCTAAAGAGCACAATGCCTTAGATTTGACAAAAACATCGCAAAGAGACCACAAGAACGTGCTGTTATTCTTTCTCTCGTAACGATCACATTTCATTAGCACCGATTCGCTTCTGTTTTGAGATAACGCATTTGAATACTTTTCGTATGATGCTTCAAATCTCCGTCGTTTGAGGTTGAACTTAAAAAAGAGATCACACTGATCGCGGTCCAGGGTGTTTCAAAGCACTGAGTAATCGCGAGTGTTTAATTTTATCTGTTGCGGTATGCATTGCAAGAGAGCTGTGTAATCAAGCCTGTGAACTCGACATCTGAAAGGAAGGATTCCGTTTCTGATCAAATCCCCCATTGAAGTCCATCCATCCCCTGAACGTGGATGTGTTGACGCGCTGAAGCTCGTTCTCGTTGCTACGTGGCCGTCAAATGAACATGCGCTGGACGCGATGCCGTATGTGTTTTTTCAGCCGATGTCTACTGTCTGTATCGGTCCCCCGGGGGCCCGAGGGGCCACATTTTAGAGAGAGCTGTAAGTGAGGACGCTTGGCGATCTCACTGTTAACCTCCTGCGTTACAAGAACACCCCAGGGC